TGTATACATTTTATGAATATCCATTTAGGAGTAGATGGCGGGATTGAATGTCGTAGTGCCTTCGTAAACTATAGATTAGATTAAGATGAGGACCCATTAAAACTGACAAAGTCATGACCACCACGGTACAACTAATTCACAAATGAGTTTATGTATATTTCCTTATCACTGGTATGTTTTTATGTGGGTTAAGATGATGAGCCTGTTTTGTGAGAAATTATAGCATTACAACTATGATGCAACTAACAAGCTGGCAAATGAGAAGTAATTTGTTGCAAGAAACCAGATAACATCAATTTTACACATCATTGAAGTATTCAAGTTACTGCCAATGTTATAGTAATTATGGTACAATGGGGGATAAATGTACGCTTATTATATACAATCATCACACCAATTGTTTTTCAAATTTACTTAGAGATTGAACTTGATGGTTGGGTAGATAATGAAGTTATTGCTTCCTCCTTTCAGGATAATTATAAATATCATGAGATTAGGGATGTCAAAAAGGCTCGGTGGCTCGGGCGACTCGTGGCCCAGCTTGGGAAAAGCCTGCCCGGCTCATGGCTCGTAGAAATCGAACCTCAAAATAAGATGTTGGCCCGAGCCCGAGCAAGAGCCACACGGGCCGGCTCGTGTCACGGGCCATTTTTGGCCCGTGACAATGATGCTTGGCCCGAGCTAAATTAAAGGGCAAAAAAAAAAATTTTAAAAATCAGCAGCAGGTCAGTGACCTACTATCAGTAGCTATAGCTGCATTTTTTTACGTGGTGTAGATTTTGAAATTCAAATTTAAAAAATAACGCGGGTTTTTTGTCTATAAATACGGGGTGATTTTTGAAATTTTAAATCACTTTGTTATCGATTTTAATTCGCATTATTTCTATATTATAGATTCAAATTCAATCATTCAAGTTTCAATTTCTTCTTTCTCACTTCTCATATAACAATTAATATTTTTCAATTTCTTTCACTCTACAGTCTAATATTCAGTATTTTTTATTATACTAGTTAGTATGGATTTTACAAGTGATAAAGTTAATCAGTTTGGCGGTAGTTCGAGTACTCCATCTAACTACGATGCATGTCAAAATGTTCCAATTAATTTATAGGATATTGAAGAGGAAGAAGTTCAAGTACTCGAGACAAAAATGTCAAAAAAAGAATCATCGAATTGTTGGCAACATATGACACGTAAAAAATTGGAGTTCAAAATGGAGTAGATATTTGGAAAGCATGTTGCAATTACTGTGGCAAAGAACTTAGTTGGAACCTCGGTTCGAGCACGACGCATTTGAATAGACACGTATTAAGGAGTTGCAAAGCGAAATCAGCTGATCTCGACTCGAAACAGACCGAACTAGTGTTTGGCGGTTCTAATTCTACTCTTTCCACCTTTGTATTTTCACAGGAAAGATTTCGTGAAGGAATGGCTGCATACGTGGCTGCAGCAGAGATGCCGCTTATGATGATAGACTCAATACACTTTACTCGACTCGTGTAGAAATATCTTCAACCCAGGTATTCTTCTTATTCTAGAAATACTCTTCGTTCAGATAGCATAAAATTATATAACAGAAGAAAACAAATTACTATTGAAGGTCTAAAAAGTTTTAATAGTGTTATATCGTTTACTTCTTATTTATGGACTGGTTGTAATAGAAAAGGTTATATTGCTGCTACGACTCATTATATTGATCACTTGTGGTTTCTACATAAAAGAATTATTGCATTCAGATGTGTAGAATATCCTCATAATGTCATTAATATATACATGATTTTAAAAGATATTATACAGGAATATGGTATACAAGATATGGGCCGAAGTTTTACTTTTGATAATATTGCAGTGAACAAAGTTGTTATTGAAAGATTTATTGCTGATCTTAACCCTGTATTTGGAAATTTATTTTTTCATCAAAGTTGTGTATGTCATATTATTAATTTGATTGTAAAAGCTGGATTAGAACATATAAGTTCACATTTAGATAAAATTAGACAAGTAATAAATTTTATTACTGTGTTACCAGTAAAAAAATAAGCATTTAATAGTTTGTGTGCAGAGTATGGATTACAGGAGAAATCATTTGCCACTGATGTAACACATAAGTGAAACTCTACATATCTCATGTTACATTCGTATGAAAATTACGATAAAGTAATTTCACTTTATTATAATGGTAGGCATACACTCGGACCCGAACATAATTTGGAAGATTGGGAATGGACTATTGCATTTTACGTGAAAAAATTCTTACAACCTTTTTTCAATGGTACAAAGGAATGTAGCGATGTTTATTACCCTACATCTTCTCTTGTTTTACAACATTTTTTCTACATTTCACAAGCATTTCATAAATATAGGAATTTACCTCTTTTTGTTGATGGAGTCCGCTCTATGGAGTTAAAATTTTGTAAATATTGGGAAGAGTTGCCTTCTTTATTTCTTTTAGTTTCAGTGATGTACCCTCGACTTAATTTAACTGGCACAAAAGCTACTGTGAAGGGGATATCAGATTATTTGAATATAGAATTATCACATGTACATATAGAATCTTTTTTATGTGAAATGTATAATTATTATGCTGAAAAGGTAGGTCAGGGTAGTTCTACTTCCGAAGGTTATTTTTCGAGAAATATTTCAACAAATTTCGAAAATTTATGGAATTATTTAGATACCAATACAAGTATTCCTTCATTTAGTTCTACTTCTAGTTTTAGTTCATCAACATCTAGAGCGATCAATATTGGTGGTACAAATCTTGAAATTCCTTCTGAGTTAGCTAGGTATATGTGCGTGGATATTCGTAGTGTGTTGCAACCAAAGGAATTACAAGAATTTAGTCTTTTAAATTGGTGGAGGTGTAACGAAAGGTAATATCCAATTGTATCAAAAATTGCACGTGATCTACTAACACCTCCAGTGTCTACGAGGCTGCATTCAGTTTAGGTGGTCGAATTTTATCAGATGAACGATCAAGACTAAAAGAAGATATATTGGAGGCTTTGATATGCTTGAAGGATTGAGAATGTGCGAAATTACGTGTTCAAGAACATATTAACAGTATAATGGCCGAAGAGTTGCAGCATATCCAAATATAGGATGTTGTAAGTTTTTAAATTAATTAATTTTCTTTAAGAAATGTATTTTTTAAATTTATTTGATTCAAAAAAAATTGTACACGAAATATTTTATTCATGTACAATTTTAACTTCGACTAGTTGATTGTAGCCGGTCCCAAGCCCGAAAAAAGGAAGAGGGTTGTAATTTGTAACTTTTATTTAATTTGTTATTCATATAAATTACATAATTTTGTAAGTTGTACTTTTATTTAATTTGTAATTTGTATAAATAATAAATGATGCAATTTTTAAATTCTTTAAAAAAAGTGAAAAAATGTCATTAAACAATTTCTTTGCCTTCTACATTAAAAAAATTGCACTACAACAATTGGCATGTGAAAAAAATGTCATTAAAAATTGGCAAAAAAAATTAAAAAATCGAGCCGGCTCGTAAAAAGCCCAAGCCTCCGAGCCGTATTTTTTTGGCCAAGCTTTGGCTCGGCTCGGGCTCAAAAAAAGCCCGCTATGATTTACTTGAGTCGAGCCCGAGCCGAAAGTTTCGGCTCGTGAGCCGGCTCGGCTCGACTCGTTTACATCCCTATATGAGATCATTGTTGCCTACGTGCAATTTTGCGGCCAAGGTATTGTGCCATTTTGAACTTACCTGAAGAGCATTGCGACACTTTCAATGTAGTTGAACAACATTGTGGTAAAAAATAGCTACTTGTATTTATTCTTCTTCATTTATTCTACAGTTTACCAAACTCGAAGTTACACGATCTTTGGTGCAATGCACTTTTTTGTCAACCGTCGAGAATGAATAAAACATCTGTCGGGACCGACATTTCAACTAGGCGGACTCTTCAATTTTATAAGTTTCTTGCTTTTCGAAAATTGAAAATGGTGGGATTGTCCAATACAAGTGTCTTAGTTTAACATGTTATTGTAGATATTATAAGTTTATCATTTTTTGCAAGTAACAAGTCCTTCTAATACAAGTAGACTTACATATTGAAGGCATCACAAGCATTGTCTATCAAAGTACATTTCAGATGTTATTCCATATGTTGTAAGACTCCCATTTTGAAATAGGTGGTTGATACGAGATAATGGTTCATCCACCTCCAGCAACAAAACATTCAACTCCAATATGCATCCGTCGATACTGGGTTCATCCGGTGAATTTCCCATCGTTTTATTGTCAGACAATAAGGAGGTAAGAGTTGAGCACCATGGTGTCGAGTTCGACGAAGTGTCAAGTGCAGAATCTAAGTCACCGAACAGCGTTCTAGATCAAGTCTTCGAGGCCAGGGGTCCGATCGAATCACCATCCGACTCAGATGAGTGGGTGGCTCATGTTCCACCTTCAGAAGTAATTGTCATTAGTTCAGACGAAGAGAAAGTGGGGGAGATGCTTAAATTGTCGAAAGTAATGCAAGTGTGCAATAAATGGATGGTCATTTTGTAGGAAATTATGTATAGTATTTTGTATGTCCTCTGCATACGTGCAGAAACAGCATATCAATAATAGACAACCGCAGTAGTGTAGGTTTGGAAGCCGCTATTGTTCCTGACTGTCGAGAATTATAGAGACCATCTGTCGGGAACGACATGTGAATTATCGGGACGTGATGTTGGTGTTTTGCTTGTTCACTGTGGTCTCATGAAAATCAATTTCCCATTTCGACAAACTTTCAGTCAAAGCAAATGGAACTTCTATGATCGGCTAAGTTTATAGTAAGAAAAATGTATTCATCCCGTTTGTGGTAATGGAACTGTAATGATCGGTAATTTGCTTGCGAAACATAACGACCAAATTTGTATTGGCCTATGATAATAATAACAGATTCAGAAAATAAGTTGGGAATGTACAATGCTTATTTAAATTACGTTTTCGGGGATTACATTTCACAACCACTTTTACACATCACGCTTGTTCAAGTGGCTTGTGATACAGTGGGGTTCGAACATGTGGTCCGATTATGACCAACTCTCCCACATCCAGTGCATTTTCTCAGTTGGGTAGTGAACTCGTATCTAGCTCGCTTACGTCGCGTGGGTGGTTTACCTGGAGGGCGACGTACAATCGGTGGCAAAATAGGAGTACCTAGGATTTCATTTGGAACAACCCAGTCCACTTCCCGCGTAACGGGAGATATTACTTCCATATAGGCACCCCTCCAGTATTCTGATTTATAGTACGGAGAGCATAGATCGTATAATGACTTACGAATCAGCGTAGCAGCACGAGTTGCATGAGCACATGGCATAAGATTTAGTTGAAACTCACGACAGGTGCATGTGTTGTCGGAGAAGTCCACAATCTCCGTATCGTTGGATATTCCAACTTGGGTCAAGTTGTCTGTCAACTCATGGGCTCAAAGCCTAGTACCAGCTTCAAATGTTGTTTGTAACTCGTTCTCCATCCTCGACGACAATATACTACTGCATGAGGTTGCATTGGTTCGTCGTTCGTAAAACCACTTCTGCATTGTTTTACGAATGTGCTCAACCAAGCATGTGATTGGCAACGAACAGGCATGTCTCAGCATTGAGTTCAATGATTCTGCGTTGTTGTTTGTCATGATGTTGTACCAGTCGCCCACGAATAGTGCTCGTGACCAGAATGAAAAATCGGCTTGCTCCAAATACTCGTAACATATTTCGTTGACTCTACGAATCTGTCCCATTAGTCGTTCGAACTCTTCGACCCGATAAGTTATAGCAGCTCGTTTGAACAGGAATATTGAACTTGCGTTAAAGTGCTGCTGGATTAGGTTCTTTTCCACATGCCACATACAACAACCATGATGAGACAAAGGAAATACGTGAGTAATAGCTCTTTCGATACTTCTTTTCCTGTCCTAAACAAATACAAGTTCATCTGAATCGCATATAAGATCTTTCAAGTTAGACATAAACCACATCCAAGATTTATTTGTTTCAGAACCCACGATCTCCCACGCTAAGGGATAAATCTGTTTGTTGGCATCTTGGGCAGTTGCCAGTAAAAGTGTACCACTGTATGGACCTTTGAAGTGACTACCGTCAACGCAAACAACGAGCCTCAAGTATTGCATGTAACCACGAATGTTTACACCAAAAGTTAGGAAGAAGTAATGGAACATATTGCACGAATCAAGTTCGATGTGGGTTACCGTCCCCGGGTTATTCTCACCTAGGATGTAATAGTATGAAGATAGTTTCTGAAAACTGTCATCTGGTGTCCCATGCAGCATGTGTAAAGCAGTCACCTCCCCCTATGTGCATTGTTGTAACTTATTTGGACACCGGGCTCACGTTCCATGTCACGTGTAATAGTGCTCGGATCATGCGATTGGTTCAGATTATCCAATTTTCCCAAAATGTGCTCGACAATTATAGAACTCGTCACATGTCGATACGCATTACTACGAAAATCGATGGAACGTATGTGAACATTATTGAATTTACGGATCACAAAGATTGCACACTGCTTCACAGTAGAAGCACGTAACATCCACTTGCAGTTGCTGTCGGCACATACAAAGGTTAACATCTTCATGCTTGACCTGCTCACCCGAAATTGGAACTTGTCTTTCAAAGCAAGTGCACGAATTGTTAGAGTACAACTCTTTCTTGCTAAAGAATATTTCCTTTTCGGCAAGATCAGATGTATTCACAGTTCTCATCAATTCTTATCCATCCGGACCGTTGAAATGTGACGAAAACTGCTCGTCATCGACGTCAACAGAATTAGCATCTTCTAAACTAGGTGATGGGTTATCTAAGTTCTCATCTAATGGTGCAGTCCCGTTATCATACTCATGTGTTTCAGGTGCAATATTGTTTGAGACACTGTGCATTCGATTCACCAAATCATGTTCCACGTTTTGCAGAACATCCATTGTGGCAAATGAAGGATCTTGAAAATTTGCATCCCTTCCCCATGTCAACACTTGGGAGATCGAATTCCAAAACAGTAACGCAAATAGCAGTTTCCTTATGCATTGATATGTACTAATTTAAGTCTTCATTGTCGCGTATTTCGGCCTGAGGTATATTCAAGTTAGGGACTTTGAATTTCAATTCAATTTGAGCGCGAGGATCAACAATACCAAGTTTCTCCTTCAACCTTAACAAAAGTTCGACTACGGTAATACTTGTTGGCACTAGAATGGAAGTAGTTTTATCCTCTCTCCACTTCCATTCGTCATCCGCATGAACAAAATTTTTCCTATACGACACGATGAATTTCAAATGATTACTTATACCTGAAATGTTGGGATCGCAATGGTAAGAATTCAGAATCAATGTGTTGGCATTTAATAGCATGAAAATCACACTGCATAATACGTAAATCAGTATAATAGAAAAATGTCATATCAAGGGTTTCCATCATTTTGAAGTGTCCGAATTGAAAGTAAAATTGTATAACCCAACAGTTTGTAAATGTTGGGTTCAACATCTCAAACGTCTAACTCGACAGTTTGTAAATATCAAACTCGACAGTTCAACTCGAGAATGTCAAGAAGCAGACGGCAATGGATTTCTCAGGCTTCTTCATCACATCACAGTAAATGTGATCATTATTATCCAGCTACCAAATGATAAAATGTAAATGGCATCTGGGCCTTGTCATTAAAGAGACCTTAATAGTGGTAATGGAAAAAATTACTCAAAACCTTAATGGTGATAATGACATTTTGTGAAGGATTCTAAAACCAAACAAATGAATGCATAATACTTTCAAAAATTTTAATGAAATACGCCCATGTTGTATTTAACATGTACAAATGAAAAGCTATAAAAGTAAAATATAATTAATTTGTAATTGCTAACCTCTCAAAATGGATGAAGAATGTAACACAAATGTCTTCTTGATCAATGAAAATGAAGAAGGTGGAGAAAATGTAGGTTTCTTGTTTATGTTACGTTTTCAAATTTCTTTGGTGATTTTTTATTTACAAAAATTCATATTAATCAATAAAAAATACATTTCTCAATGTTTTATATATAGAAATTAAATGATCACATCAAGTCAATGCTCCTTCAAATCAAGCATTTAATGCTACTAGAAATATGTCATTATGGGTAATTTGGATTTTGCATCCCAAAAATGTGATATTTTTGCTCATATAAAGTGAAAATAGCAAATCTTTTGAAATTTTCATTTTTTGTGACATTTTTGTAAATTCGCCTTAGAAAAATAGAGGTCTGGAGAGTAGGAAAATTCAAGATTTGTTTCTGCGTGTACTTTTGGACAGACACGAGAATTGTGTACGTGCGAATTGTGGAGGAAAAAAAATAAAAAATAAAAAGCTCCCTCAAAAGTTGGAGAATCTACAGTTCTTCCAAGTACTGTTCTGTACGATTCCCATGCCGCAGCTAATTTCCCACTATTTTTACTGCTTTATTTATACGAAATCTTGAGCACAATTATATTACTCAAAGAACCCATTTTTATTCTGCTTAAGAAAACCCATTTCAAGAATTTCTCAGAAATCCATGGATTATGATTCTATTCCTTCCAGCCCAATTTCTGTTGTTTCCACTTTCAGTTCCCCATTTGAGGGTTCTCCAAAGGGGAATGATTCAACAAGAAAACCCCTTAGTTTGTGGCCTGGAATGTACCATTCGCCTGTTACAAAAGCTTTGTGGGAAACAAGGTCAAAAACATTTGAGAGACTTCTTGATCCCCCACTTGATGCACCCCCACCAAGTGAATTGTTGACAAAAACTCCATCTCAGAGTAAGATGACAATTCTGTATAACTTTTCGACTGATTATATACTGAGAGAGCAGTATAGGGATCCTTGGAATGAGGTCAGAATTGGGAAGTTGCTTGAAGATCTTGATGCTCTTGCTGGAACTATTTCAGTCAAGGTACAATCTTTTCGTGGATGAAATTTGGATGTCGTCTTTAATTCTTAATCTTGGACACTATTCAATATCTTTGTGTGTCTGTGAGTACTTTTTTTTCAACATTGTGGAGTTCTTCCTGTTGCTGATGTTGACTTGTCTAAAAGGTTAAAGCTGTTGTTTAGCTACATATTATTTATTTAACTTTAGTCTTCAATACACGTGTTAGCCAGCAAGTTATTCAATTTTTAACAGTGGCATCAAACAAATAGCAGTGAAACTTCATTTCAAAGACCTTTGCATGCTTGCGTTGAACAACTCTGTACTGGGGACGTGTTTATTTATTTAAATTTAGTCTTCAAGAGCCTGTATTTGAGATAATTCCAGGTGGTGCTATGACATTGTTGCTCTTTGTGTTCGACAAGCAATTTTATATCTGATAAATGTCAGAAAACAAATGTATAATACTGTGTTTTGTAAGACCTGATTCATTCAAATAAAATTGTTCTGATGATTCATGCAAGGACTATAAAAGGTATTAATTATATTATGGTTATAGGATTTGAGATATTATTCAAAATGTTATATCCTTCATATAATCTTCGTTTTCTTGTGTATTAGCATTGTTCCGATGTTGATAGCACGACTAGACCACTCTATCTGGTAACTGCTTCTGTTGACAAAATGGTGCTGAAGAAGCCCATCAGTGTTGACATTGATCTGAAGATAGTTGGTGCTGTGGTTTGGGTTGGCCGATCTTCTATTGAAATTCAACTAGAAGTCACTCAGCCACCAACTGGTATTTTCTTCAGAACTAATTGTCTTTCACTAGAAGAAATTGAACTTAAAGCTCAACTCAAAGATTTTTCATGATTAGTCCTTATACATACATTTTAATTATTCAGGAATTTTTTTGAATATTATTATAATGTTATTTTCTCAATGACTTATAAACTGACATGCTTTTCCATTCTAACTCGATGTCATTGACGGTCTTCATCCAACTATATTTTCCCATGTGTTTCTTTAATTTCTATACACCAGCATCGTCTCTGCTATTCAAACTTTGTCTAGATCTTAGTTTGAAATCTCACAATAGTAATTTTTTTATCAGTTCTGGCTTCATATTTGCCTTATATTTCTTCCAGCAATCCTCAATCTCTCAACATGTGATCTAGCTAACTGATCTGTCTCTTGCACAGTTTTTATCAGTCTTTAAATTCCATTATAAGTTGGTTGGAAACTAATTTAACATGAGGTAAAATATAAGACTGCTTGTCACTATTGTCATTCATGCATTAATCAAGGAAGACTTGCCTCCACAGAGATAACTGATGGTTCAGAATCAGTTGCTCTGACGGCCAACTTCATTTTTGTGGCCCGTGACTACAAGACAGGGAAAGCTGCTCCAGTAAATCGACTGAGTCCAGAAACAGAACAGGAAAAAATGCTTTATGAAGCATCAGAAACAAGGAATAAACTAAGGAAAAGGAAGTTCAAAGAAGACAGAAAGGAAATTGAGAATGGAGAGATGAATAGATTTGAAGCATTACTGGCTGAGGGACGTATCTTCTGTGACATGCCAGCATTGGCCGATAGAGACAGCATTCTCCTCCGAAATACCCGCCTCGAGAACTCTCTAATTTGTCAGCCACAGCAAAGGAACATTCATGGTCGGATCTTTGGAGGATTTCTAATGCACCGAGCATTTGAATTAGCCCTTTCAACAGCTTATGCTTTTGCCGGCAAAATGCCAAGCTTTCTAGAAGTTGATCATGTTGATTTTCTGAAACCGGTGAGTACCTCATTGTAAACTTCTCTCCTCTGTTTCCTTGTGCCAACTTGATTT